GGCCGCGAGTAACTGAAAGCAAGGCTCAGGGGTGGCTTTGTGCCCAGCATGAACAAAGGCAGGCGACTGGGTTTTCATGAGCTGGCCATCACACAACATGACTTGCACCATGTGCCGTACCCTAACATATGTGTGTGTACGACAGGCAACCCAGCTCCTGTTCAGGGGCTCGGCTGTCACCCTGGCACCTGTACAAACCCGTGGCTTGCAGCCTGACATGTCCACTTACCTGCTGCAGCCCGCTGCCTGACACCAGCGCCATCCCTGGCTGCAGCAGCTGCATTGCCCCTGGCTGCCCATCCTGTTCCCCTGCTTCAGCGCCTTCGGCAGCCATGGCGGTTTCCACCTCAGCTGTGGCGGCACCCATCTCCGTGTTGGGCTGGATAGGCAGGGCTAGTAATAGGAATCAAAGGGGATAACTGAGTTGTGTTCAGCCCACAAAGATTAGCTGGGAACAAGGCGCTAACTTCAGACAACGCAAGATCGCCAGATAACTGTGCAAGCAAGCGCAAGTCAGAACGTCGTTTGTTGGGGAATAGGGACATCAAAAATAACAATATACAATACATTTGGACCCAGTTTAATAAGGAAGGAAATCAGAGAACACAGCGTTACTGGCACATCGGGCGTCAGTAACAGCAAAGAGATGGCCGAGCGGGATGAAGTGCACGGCGGAGTTGGAGGAGGTCCGGAGGAGAATGAAGTAATGGCTATGATGAAGGCGATAAGAATGGCACGCGATGGAAACACCCAGAAGGGGATGATGCGGTGATCAACGGACTCCGCGCCTTATCCCACGTTGTCTGAAAGCAGGCACAGCCAGCTGCAACTAGGCCTACCCAGTTGTGTGTAAGAGGGAAAGGGGTGTCCCTAAACCGGCCGCAAAGGGTTGACAACTACGCATGTTTTGCTGGGGAATGGGGTGATCCGGCTACGAGGGGATGGCGCCGCGGCGGAGAGGTCATTGCTTTGAGGTTTAGCTCAGCATGGTTTATTACCACCGCGGGTTAATGCCAGGTGACCAGCTGGAGCCCACTGAAGCACCCGGACCGCCTTGCGCTCATCGGGTAGCAACTAGACTCTGGAAGTCTGCCCAATAACGAGTGCCCACGGCCGGTAGGCTTTACCCGGGTGATGCTCTCAGGGAGAGAAGCATCCTGGTTGCGTTGTGCTGCTCCGAAAGGCCAGCCCCAGGGGGTGCGTGGTAAAGCACCCAGGCTGAGTGGCCTTGGGCCGGTAGGCTTAGATATGTTTAGCTGGAAGGCCAGCACCAGGGCTGGGTTGCCTTAGGCCAGTAGCATAGGAAGAGTTTATCCAGAAGGCCAGCCCCAGGGGGTATGCTCTCGTGTGGTGAAGCACCCAGGCTGAGTTGCCTTAGGCCGGTAGACTGGGTCGCGTTTATCCGGAAGGCAAGCCCCGGGGGTTATGCTCTCGCGTGGTGAAGCACCCAGGCTGAGTTGCCTTAGGCCAGTAGACTGGGTCGTGTTTATCCAGAAGGCCAGCTCCAGGGGGTATGCTCTCGTGTTGTAGCAGGCTACATTTCCCTTAGAATATTTTAACGATTACTTTTAACAATAACTGTTAATTTGTTAAATGATCTGACTCAAGTTTCGTACATGTTCCGAGTTTCGTCACATGTCACGAACTGGGCAGCTGTTAGTAAGCGAATCTAACGGGCTGGGGCCCCGGGCCCCACCAACATTATCCTAGTACGGCAAGGTCCGTAGTAGAGATTATCCGGCAGGTAGGCCGAGATATAAGCTACCCGGGCGGGGT